AGCAAGATACTTCTCAAAGTCTTTGCTTTCCTCTGCGCTTCTCCCTCTCTCGCTTGTTCTTCCCTCTCTTCTTTCTCTTTATCTTTTTACCCTATTTATCATATAATTCATTATGATAAAAGTAACCCATTGTTTATTTTAAGGTTATCTCCTTTAACCCCCAAGTAAATAAGTTATTAAACGTACCCACTAATTTCATACAGTTTGTCATAAATAGTCCAAAACACCCCTAAAAACTTTTAGCAGAAATCCGACCCAGTCGAGGTTACGCCGCTCGTGACGGCCCGTCGTGCCTACGACGGTCCATCCTGCAGGGTCGTCACAGAGTTCAGAGACTCAACCTCAGTAAAAAGGTTTGTGACATCCCGTCATATCTACGACGGTCCCTGCTGCAATTTCATCGCGAAGTTTAGAGAGTTGATTCCCCGTACCCAAATTTTGAGAGTTTAAGTGTTTTGGCACGAAGACACTCGACGGTCCGTCGTGACCATGAAAGTCCATCGTGTGATCCGTCGACACAGTCAGTTATTATCAAAAGTAATTATACTGCTTAAAACGACTAAACAGGTCGTTACAATCTATCCTCGGAAGAGGATATTTATTCTTGATGGTCACCTTATTCAGCTGACGATAGTCCATACACATTTTAAGGGGCCCATCCTTCTTTCTAATAAACATGACCGGAGCGCCCCAAAGTGAGACACTTGGTCGAATTAAGCCTTTATCTAAGAGATCATTCAATTTCTCTTTTAGCTCTTATATGGAGGAATAGAGATAGGACGAGTATCTGGGATGAAATCTATGTCAAAACTCATCTCTCTTTCGGGAAGGAATTTGGGTAGATCATCAGGAAAGACTTCTGGAAACTTACTTACAATAGGAACTGACTGAAGTCAAGGTACCTCAACACTTGAGTCATTAACTCAGACTAAGTGATAGATACATCCCTTAGAAACTAACTTCCTCCCCTTAAGGAAAGAAATGAAATGACCCTTAGGCACTGCTGAACTACTAACACACTCTATGACTTACTTATTTTTAATTTGGAACTTGAAAACTCAAAATCTGCAATCTATTGACGCAAAATAGGCATGGAGTCAATCCATACATAGAATGACATCCAAATCTACCATGTCCAATTCTACTAGATCATCCATTGTTTTCTTGTGATTGATGGAAACGAGACAATTACGATAGACTCTTTCCACTAGAATAGACTCCACAATAGTTGCGAAACACAGAAGGATTCACAAAGCTTTTCAACGATAATTTCAAACTGATTTGCAATATAAGGAGTTATAAAGGATAAACTTGCTCCTGGGTCTAATAAGGTATAAACATCAAAAGTAAAGAGTTTGATCATACCCGTGACAACATTTGGAGAGTTCTCTTGTTCTTGATGGCTAGTCATTGTATAGAGGTGGTTTACCCCTCCGCCTGTACCAGAAGTGGCTCCCCTGGGTGCAGCCCAATTTGGTGGAGCAACTGATGAAGATTGAGCTCTATTTCCACCCCTAGCTTATTCTTGGGGCACTCTCTCATGAAGTGACCCTCTTGACTACACTTGTAACAACCTTTCTGTCCATCACGACAATTTACTGGGTGGTATCTACCAGACTTAGTACATACAGGAGCCTTGCTTCCTCCTTGCGCCACACTACCTTCAGACTGAGTCATTCTAGCCTTGAAGTTCTGCAAATTATGGCCACTATACTCACCTCAATTTTTTGGTGCAAGTGCACTAGCAGATGATGATGTATTCCCCTTTGGTTTCTTGAACTGTGGTAGACTTTAACCACCTTTTTGTTGGACAGACTCATTTTCTAGTCTTTGATTTTTTGTTTCAGTAATCTTCTCATTCCTTCCATTTCTCCTCTTCTACTTGTTGCACATAATACCATCAGCCTTGATATGTCCATGTCACCTATCACCATGGCAGCCCTACTTTCCTTACTTGAAGCATGACCTAACCCGGCAACAAACAAACTCATTCTTCTCCTCATGCCCTTCACCATCTCCGAAGCATAGCAAGATAGTTGGGTGAAATTCAACCCGTACTCATGTACACTTATGGTGTCCTGTTTCAAGGTGAGGAACTCCTTTATTCTTGCTTCCTTTATCTATCGAGGAAAGAACCTCCCCAAGAAGGTTTCTTCAAAACAAGCCTAACTCAGGTATGGTAAACCCTCAACTCTACCATCCTTCCAATTATCAAACCAAGTTCTAACCACACCCTTTAATTGATATGCAAAAAATTTGACCCTCTCAGCATTTAGCACATGCATCACCTCAAATACCTTCTTTAACTCTTCCAAAAAGTTTTTCGAATCCTCAGTAGTGCTTTATTCAGTGAAACTAGGAGGATTCATTATTAGAAACTCGTGACCTCTTTAGGTGTCCTCCCCGTCTTTTTGAGATCCTCTCATTTGCCAGACCTGGTTGGTCACAACTTGACTTAACATGCGGATAGCTTCCCAGAATTTGGCATTGGTAACCTCTCCTTGGGGTTGCACATCTGGTGCATTCGGAACCTCTTGTTCCTCAATATTTCTTCGAGCTAGTGTCCTCTGACTGCTCTTTGTGGATACATGATGATCTAAAAATACGCGTAAGCACGAATTAGAGAGTGAAAAATTTAGAGATAAGCTCTTCGCACAAAAAATATCAAATAAGGGAAACATTCCAAAATTTTGTAGCCTCCTAATCATAGATGTGGTGCGCTCACACCGATGACTAAGACTCTACTGACACGACTTCATAGACTCCCAAGGACTTTTGAACTTTGTGCTCTAATAGAAAGTTTGTCACGTCCGGAGCCTACACCCTGGACGTGGCCGACACTCGAAGATCATTTAGGGACCCCAAGCGAACCCTTGTCCTAATTTAATAGACAGAGTGGAGGATTAAACTCAACATAAAAAAGAATAAAACATATTTAAAGGAAGTATTTCATATAATAATCTATCCAAAATGACACTTATGTCTCAACAAATAAAATGGACTCCAACTAAACTATTAAATGTCGATGAAGCCTCTAAACTAATTGAGATTAATGTTGGGACAAACCCCACAACATCCTAAAAGTTAAACTAGTAAAACAATAAAAAAAATGTTCTACGAAATGTAAGGAGGCTCACTACAAACTCTGGAACTCAATTTGGATTAATGAAGCGCTACGTGGTAATCCTGGTTACTTGTGTCTGCATAATAAAATGATTCAAGACAACTGACATCAGTATATTGAATGTACGAGTATGCGACTTTAAATGATACGTAAAACTAAAAACTTGAAATGGAGTAAGGATGAACTTACCTTGGCTCTGCTCAACTCATAAGATAACAACCCAATCTAAAGAATTAAGGAGATATGCAATATATATATATATATATATATGTGTGTGTGTGTGTGTGTGTGTGTGTGTGTGTGTAAAACTGATTAAAATAGTGTAGCTCTTAGTTCATTTAAGATATAACAATAATAAACCCAACTTTACTTATGTATGAAAGTAATATAGCTTCTGTGAATGATTTTATAACCAACAACCACCCTTATGAGCCTAAGTGGTGATACAACGTCTTGCTCACGCAACCAGAACTATTCTATACTTTGTCGTCGCATAGAACATCCTCTACTTAGTGGATCCACTGGCTAACCTTACATTATCATATAAAAAGTATGACATGTAAATACCCATGATGAATACATCGTTCACTTGAGGAGTTTAGTTATTTGAACTCTCATTCCCACATCGATGCTCAATACTACTCCCATAATGTACTTTAGCTCATACATTTAATAAAACTTCCTTCCTTTGGGTTGAGATAATTTGGTGAACCCTTTAGCTTAAAAAGCTTCTTTTGGAAAAAATGTTCCCCTCTATAGTTCAAAAATATTTTGAAACTTCTTAATTTCATTTTAACTTAAATGTAAAAATATTACAAACTTTTAGGGAATACTTAGTCCCCTTCATAACTTTGGAGCAATGAACTCAACTCTTGCTCTTACTTAACTTGAAACTTTAACTCTTAGGGAATACTCAATTCCTTATACCTTTTTGAGAAATGAACTTAATGTTTAATCTTTTCCTTAACTCGAACTTGAGCCTTAAAACAAATTCAAAACATTTAATGAATACTCTAAGAACTTTGAAAACATTACTCTTACTCACTTCATAGTTTTAGACATGAATTTTTTACTTTCTTCACTTTAATCCTAACTTCCCTTGAATTTGTATTATGGATTCAAAGATCATGATCTCATGTTTATATATGATTTCATGATGTTGAGATGTACTGTAGAGTGTTGGACTCAATTAGGAATGAAGGGTACATCACTTAGGAACTAGTACAAAAATATAGGGAAAGAACAGGGTCTCTAGGAGCTATTTGCGGTCTTAGAGGCGTGGAGTGACAGGTCCTGTCGGACAGACCCTGGTCTGGGGAACTCTAGTTGGCGCTGTGCCAGGGCTTGTAAGACATATCTTGCCTTGAGGCGCTCTGGCAGAAGCGGCTCCCTTAGGGGTGTCTGACAGGACCTTCGACTTTTCTTCTTTGTTTTTATCTAAACCTCCCAAGCTACCGTGTATCCTACCCGAAACAATTAGGATCACTAAATAACTCACTTTTCAATAACTTAGACCCGAAAACAGTTCGGCAATATGAATCAAAACTACTAGAGATCAACTACAGTTAATCAACAAGAACTTACAACATTTTATCAAGAACCTCAAGATTATCATTCAAACAACTCTAAATTGCTGTATTGAATCAAGTTGGAGGGTGGGTTAAAGGACCTAACACGGAATGATCTCACATACCTTGATAGGGATCACCTTCGACGAAATCCACGCATCGATCTTGGCGTTCTTTGATGATTCTTGGTCTTCCTCTTCTTTTCTCCCTCATACGACATCATATTTGTTTAAACTCTGCGACGTTGGGAAGATATTCTCAAGGGATTTCAAACCTTATAAAGAACTCACCCGAAATTCTCTTGAGGTGGAAATTATGACCATTTGAAAATGACCAAAACTAACTTTTAAAAGCTTGAAATTTTCTAGATTTCCTTATTTATTTCCAAAAATGATTATTCTTGGATTCTTAGTGAATTCTTAGTCAATTCTTGTTACGAGATGTTACATCAATAATTGATCCAAATGAAGACAAAGAAAAATAAGTTAGAAACACTATCAGTGCTCATGTTATTTTGTGGATCCTCAATTTTATACATATAGATATTGCACTTAGTCTGCATCCATTTAACTTTGAAGCAGAGATGCAACATCTTCTTGAAAATGTATATTTCTTGATGTAGTTATGCTTGTTGTTTTGATTTAAAACATAATATTTTTCTATAGAAGAAGGAAGAGTAAAAAAAAGAGTTACTTTTTGGGACTTATGGTAATCTTGTTAGAACAAGACCATAACTTTGGAGGAAAACTTTCTTCAAAAAGTTTCAAATAGTTATGTTGAAGAGGAAGAAGATTTAGATTGTCCAATTTCTCATGAAAATTGAGGCCTGGATTTGAGCCTATTAGTGTTAACATTCCTAAAAGAGAAATTCTACCCTTAAACAATGATATAGTTTTTATAAAATTCATTTATGAGGAGACACACAACATTATTCTAGAAGTCATGAATTTCTCCCTCACAAGTGACACAACTACTTATACATTAAAAGATACACATAATCTTACACTCAGAGTTCGTCTCAAAACTCTGTACCAAAATGCTTTGAGTGTAAATGGATATCCATACTACATCATGTTGGAAGAAAAAAACGTACGAAATCATTTTAACAAGTCTAGCCATATAATTTTGGAGTGCAATTGACGCCCAAATACGCATTAAGCCAAGCACAAACCTTTTGAAGAATCTAAAGCTTATGTGTGTTAACCAGAGATCACACCACCATCTTTCATAAATTCGAAATCATTTCAAAAGATGATATGAGATTCAGTTGCAGCTGCTCTTCCGGGGCTATTTCTAGTGCTCACACTATTGCCTATCATGATAAGAAATTAAAAAAAAAATTCAAAAGTTTAAAATATATATTTTGTTGCTTCTAACTATATGATAGGAGATATCTATAATTTAGTCTCTTTATAAACTCCACCTGAAAATCATCTTATTGTCATAGTCAATGTAGAGATACCTTCCTTTAAGTTTGAAAATACATCTATGCTTCATAATATTTTTTGTCTCTAAACTCACAGTGAAATTTATTTCGATTGGACAATTGATGGAACCAAATTTCCTTGTTGTTTTATCATGCTTGGTTGTGTTATTTAGATATCAGATATTGGAAAGGTAATTTCAACGGTTCATAAAATTGGGTTAATGTTTCAGCAGTCTATGTCTGAAACACCTCACCATGCATGTTAATTGTCTACAGTAAAGAAGATATCACTAACTCAAATAAATTTTGATACTTGTGAAAAATTTGTTGAATATAATAGTCATAAGTTGCCTTTTTGTAGTACTACTTCATATAACTTTACTTTTGATTTTTTTAAATTTGTAGTGACTTATGAGGTCGAGGATCAATTTTATATAGATTAGGATATTATTTTTTTATCTTGCTTAATGATAATGTATTGTGGTATACAATGAGTGTTCTTTTCTTAGAAACAAAAGTGAACTCATAAATATTTTAAAAGAGAGAGGTATCACTTCGCAACATTCTTGTCTATACACGCCTGAGGAAAATGAAATTGTAGAAAAAACTATAGACATGTACCAGAAACCACACTATCTCTTCTTGATATATTAAATGTTCTTAAAATATTTTTGGTTGAAGCCATCTAAACTTCTGTCTATTTAATAAATAGACACATCATCACTATTAAAAAATTATATGATAGTCCATATTCTGTTCTTTTTGGTAAACTCTGTTTCAATTCTCATCTAAATGTTTATTATTGTGTGTTTTTATGTCTTGGTTCATTAAAATAGACATGGACATCATAAGTTATTTGCAAAAGTTGTGAGATGAGTCTTTCTAAAATATCGTGGTATTTAAATGGGTTATCTTTGTTATAATTCTTCTAGACGACAGGTACGAGCTTACAAACATGTAATTTTCTTTAAGCATCTATTTTCTTACTATAATTATCTCTTCAACAAAATCTGACTCCGTCTCCTTTCTGTTCAAGTTTGAAAGTTAGCATGTACAAAATTTGACGACCCTAATGATACTATTCATGATCTTGATCAATTAAATATATTCATCATGGATAATTCAAGTAATAGTACTTTCTCAACTAATTCATTGAATATCTCTTTCACTCACATTTGACAAAAATGATGATTTCTATGGTGAATTTATTCCAAGTGACCAAACAAATCTTTCTATTCCTTGTTTTCATCACCTGAACGTAAAATATCTGTCCCAAATCGATATGAATACTCTCCAGATATATGCAATTGAAGTTATGACTTTCTTGATACGTTGAATTCTATTTTTGTCTCAACTACTTATCAACATGTAGCAAGTCATGACTACTGAAAAAAGGAAATGGAGAAAAAACGTTTGATATCTAATCTATGTGAAGCTTTTGTTATTTAAAGTAAATGTATTTATGCAATAAAGATGAA